GGTTTATGGTTTAGGGTTCACGGTTTAGGGTTTTGGGGGTTTAGGGGTTAAGGGTTCCCCTACAAGAATCTTGCTCATAAACCTCTTTGCCTGCGGTGGAGAGCTCTCCGTAATGCGCTCTCATGCGCATCCACACAGAGACACCGAGGGCCATGGGGATCATCTGCATTCTTGCTCAGGAAAGAAGGGTTGATCAGATAGAAGCCTGAGTACTTAGTGGCATAGGGTTTAGGGTTTAGGGTTTTTTGATTGCTTAGGGATCCGTCCGTTGATAAGTTCTACGACAGTATACCCGAAAAGCTGCCTGAATTTTCAAGGCCCCCCGTATTGGAGGCTTTGACGTGCCAACCGTTCAACATCCCTAAACCCTAAACCCTAAACCGTCCTAAACCCTAAACCCTAAACCTTCAACTTCAGAAGCCAGGCGATTGCGAAAGAGACAACATCTTGAAGTTTAGGGTTCGGGGATGCAAGTTTAGGGCTTTCATGTAGGGGCCTTAAGTATTCGAAAAGGGTTTTGGGGGCTCCTTATTATGATTATAGTTATAGTTTAATATATCCCAAGCCCTACTCTAATTATTAAGGCCCGTATATTGGGGCTTTTAGGGGTTTCGCTTTAGGGTTTGGGGTGCCGCGACAAGTCCTTCCATGCATGGTCATGTTGTGCTTCCTCGTCGAGATGCAGCGAAGTCCGGTGAGAAGACGACAAAAGCTTGGCAGCAAACACACGCAGACATAAAGAACCAGAGATTAGGGTTTAGGGTTTAGGGAATCCTAAGACTAAACCCCCCTGGAAAGGGCAAGCCGACAATCCAAAGCCGAGGCAATCCATGACCGTAGCATGGCCGGCTTGTAGTGTAGCCGTGTTGAAGCCGCAGCACACAGCCTGCTTGCCTGTGATCATGATTACTATTACTATGACTATGGGCTATACCTGTTACGGCTGTCATTCTATAATGACCCCTAATTCTAAACTCTAATCTAGGACATTTTCAGGTGGGTAGTTACCGTTATAGGAGCCTTATAGAAGGTCTATATACCTTATAGAAGCCTTGTAGAAGCCCTATATACCCTAAACTCCCCACCTGTAGTTTCCTTTATCCTAAACCGTATCTCTTCACACCTCCCAGGTTTTTTCATTGCATCCTCCCGTGGCCATGCCCTTACATCTTCTTGGCTGGAGCATCTTCGGCGTGAGCTGGAGGGTGACGCTTGGCTGTGGTTTAGGGTTTGGGGGCTTAGGGTACTAGGATTTAGGGAAATTTAGGGCTTACCTTGACCCAAAATAGCCTACCTTTTTAAGGACTTATTATAAGGAAATCATAGTAAGGAGCCCTAAGAAAGGTAGGTTCTTTAGGGTCCACGTAGGGCTGAGGGCTTTAAGGGTTTGGCAACTTGGGGCAGGCTAGGGGAACGGGGCCAAAGGGTTTAGGGTTTCTTGGGGTTCAAGCCTTGGGTTAGGGTTTAGAGTTTAGGGACTTCAGGGTTTAAGGTTTACTGTTTCGGGTTCAGGTCAGCAACTAACTTTGACATGATCACTGCCTGTGCCAGCCGTTAGCATGACTTGGTAACAGCCACCTAAGTCTCTAAGTAGCCTAAGCACAAATTTGTTGATTCTTGTTCCCATGATCATTCGAATCTACCGGTATTGTGTTCCTACTGTGATTAGTAAGTTTATGCCTTATGAGTCTGTTGCTCCCTTACTATCCGACCCTTCAATAAGCGGTATTCAAGTCTCTAGGCAGGCTTTCTCCTTCCTGAATCCCTTTGTGAGGACAGCATCCACTACTTTTCCTGCCACTTCGCTTTTCACCGCATGCTGGACGAGGATACCTCAAAGCGCCAACTTTTCCACAAGGCGCTATGTCTGCGGTGTAGGAGTCTAAGCGTCAGCAAGAAGGTGCGAAGGCGCATCTTCACAGTTGATGTGCAAAGATTAAAGCCGGTCCAGTTCAAGACAATACAGGCCCAAGCTACTGCCTATCTGAACACAGGCCAGTCAGCCGATGCGCCGCTTCAAGCACCACAATCGATTTTCGTTCCTACAACACTCATGGGATCTAGTCTATCGCATCGGTGCAAGTCAGCGACCGTGCATTTCTTTAGTTACCATTTGGAGGGTCAGCTGATCTGGGGTATTTCACCGCCCGAAACAGCCAAACAGCATCGGGATTCATACGAACTGTTTTCCAAGTCCAGTGTTCGTCTGTTCACGTTTCAGAAAACCCTCGCAAAGACGACAACCTCCGAAGCTACAGCCTAATGCGCCGCCAGACATGGTTCCAGTGATGTACATGTGTATATATGCATATATGTAACCATAAAATATACACATACCTTCACCTATGTATGTATATAATGCATGCAGATACCTGTATATACGTATGCATGAACGTGTAACCATACTTCTGATTCTGTTTACACGCGCATAGCACATGCAGATGTTTCCGTGTTTTTTGTATAATCTTCCACATCGAGTTCCCTGTGCCATGGACACCTCGCTCACTTAGTGGAACCCTACGTCCTTTCCGGAGCTTTGATTTGAGTAGTTTTCAATCTGAATAGGGCCCAAGGCCAGAGCACTTCCCCCAGTACCCGAAATCCTGATCACTATCCTGGATCTGCCTTTGCTCTCGGCAGACAAAAGCAGTGCCAAGACGCTTCAGATGTGTGCCACTTGTTACTTTTTGGTGGTTGCTGTGTTGTGTTTTCTACGTTTCGACTTTTCACGTTTTGCGGTACTTTTCAACTTTTCGTGGCTTTTCGACTTGTCGTTTTTCTCCGTACCGCTGCAATGGTTTACTTGTCAACACTTCTCGACATGTCGGGCTTCTGGTTATTCGCGCAAATATTCATGTTTTACCACTTTTCGCTTTCCGGCTTTTCGCGTGCACTCCGGCATTCTCCATTTATCCGCGCCCACAGCCGCTCGCAAACACGGGTTTACCCCGAACCCTAAGCCATAAGCCCTAATCCCTAAACCTTTATAAACCCTACACCTCCGTTGAGCCCGAGCGCAGCAGCTGATTGCTAGGGTTCAGCAGCTAAGACAAAGTAGAACAATTGCCAATACCATTGCTGAGAGTTCCCATCATCATCAGAGTAGGTTGTACCGAAAACCCCAAGTTTTAATTTGCTCTAAGAGTCATGGTTCGAAAGAGTGCACCTGTCACTCCGCTTCTCTTTGCTCGCCAGACGTTCAGTCCGCTATGTAAGATATTTAATTGAATTATTCATGCTATATAGATAAACAATTACACCTAAACGCTAAACCGTGTTAGATAATTGGCGATATTTATCAATATAGTCTACATGATTATAAGGAGGCTCTGGGTTCGGCATGTAGCATCCTTTGAAAAGGGTCGTTGTAGATACGGTTGAGGGTTAAGGTTTAGGACTTTAAGGTTTAGGACTTTAAGGTTGAGGATTGAAGGTTTAGGCTTCAAGGTTTGCAGTTTATTTAGGCTAAGGCGCGCCTTACTGACCATGGGGTTTTGGCAGATATTTGCGGGCTTAAGGCTTCCCTGGTTTTTTTTGGGGGGGGGGATGCCGTCCACTTCGCCACCATCCCCATGAACGTCATCAATATGCAGGCCGTCATCACCATCATCATCATCATGACCATCGTGCTTACACACACATTTCACATCAGGAACATGTGCAGCATCATTATCATCAACATCACCATCAGCATCATCATCGTCACCATTATCACCATTGTAATCATCGTGTTTCCTTCATGCTCCGTTTCAGTACTCTAAAGCAGTTGTCGACGGACCTTAGTCGGTTGGCAGATGCCAAGAACAAGAATAAACTCGTGAAAGAAGAAGCTGGCTGCACAATTCGCATTCGGAAGGTTAGCAATCTCCCTCTGGGGCCAGTGAGTTCGTGCTCAGACACACAAAGCCTGGTAGGATCCAAAACAAACCTTTTCGTCAAAAAAGTGCAAACAACCCCACGTTTACAGCGTTTTTGCAAGTCTTACGCACTCATGGACCGTGCCAAAACCCCATGGTCATTAAGGCGCGCGTTACCATTGTTTGGGTTTCGAAGCCTCTCACTACGACATTAGCAACTCCATGAAGTTTTGTGCCAGGGAACTCAGAAGCTAGGCCCATCTTTTTCGGGTTTAGGGTTTATTAGGGTTTAGGGGACAGCCTCTTCGAAAGGTGCCGAAGGTGTCGGCGCAGCATCCCCACACGGTTGAGTTTGAGTTGCCTGGCAGCTGCTGTTGTTACATCGGAATCTGCTGTCTGCAAACTGTACGCACAGAGCACAAGCTTGTCCCATTGCCCCAAGGAAGTACACCTTAAATTATGAAGGGTCTGGTTAGTGTGAGTCGATATATACTCCTTCATTGTGTGCCCTCGAAACTCCCCAAACGGCACGAAACCTCTGACCTCCAGTGGCACTGAGTTGTAAACGATGCAACCCGAGCCTTTTAGCTCCCAATAACTAGCCCCAAACCCTCAATCTCATGTTCGACCAAGAGAAGAAGAACTTCATCAAGACCTTACCAAGCAGAGAAAAAACTGCAAATAGCCTAGCAACCACCCGACCACCAAGCCTAAACCCTAAAGCCTCAACATGACCTGTAGCCGCTTAGTTCTTCGCCTTCAAGGCTTGGTTTTGCGGCCCCAGCAACCAGCAACGTCTTGGATGCCCTGAAGAGGCCCGATGCGGAAGACCCGAACCATCACAGCTCCCATTAGGGCTTAGTGGTCAGCCGGATTTGTGGTTTATATATTAGAGGGTTGGTTTAAGCTATACGGGTTCTGCAAGGGTTTTAGGGTTCAAGGGTTAGTATTCGGGGCTTTAATATTTAGTGATTTAGCGTTCGAGCGTTGATGCTGTCACTGTGTCTTCGCTGGATGCATGATGCTGGGCTGTACTTTCGCAAGCTGAAAGCCTCGTGGATTGCCAAGCGCGCAATTTAGAAGCGCAAAACAATAAACCCTAAACCCTAAACCCTAAACCCTAAACCCTAAACCCTAAACCCAAAACAATAACCAATATCATTCCTCAGGGTTCCCTCTCCTACCTAGAGTGTACTATACCCCCCCACACCCAATTCTAATTCTTGAGGCCCTGGTACACTGGAAGGCTCATGGGACTGAGTAAGTAAGGTTA